GCAGACCCAGGAAATCTAGGGAATGGTCACTTATAAGATCAGAGAGGCAGGTGGCCATCCCTTTCTTGCCCACCCCCCTGCAGTTCCAGATGATCCCTCTCATATGGAACGTTTTTTGTGGAACTTGGACTTAGTAGCCCCACCAGGCGGCACGGCAGGGCTATAAGTCACACCTATATCTGAAACCTTTATCTGGCTTCTAGTCACATGTCTAGAAAGCTTCACAACAGGTTTCTTAGGTATTTTCTTTTTTGGTTTACCAGGGGGCACCTTATCATGGATGACCTCATCCTGGTCCAGCCAAGTGAGGTTCACCGGGGCTTTTTTACCCATCCCATTAGTTACGAAAATATCATTCTCACAACTCTGCTCTAGACTACCTATACTCTCTTTATCTTCTAAATTCTTTCTGACATGTTCAAGTTCTCTTAGTACATCAATACAAGCAAAATCATTATCAGGAATAGCAACTACCATATTGGACACCCTACTAATTAATTCAACGTCAGACAGAATGGCAAATGAATTTTTACGAGCATTATGAGAGTTACCTTCCAGGTTTTTCTTGCATGCTAGCTTCTCAGCTTTGGCCATCACATGTTCCTGCATCCCCTGAACATTACGTTTGCTGAGTTTGGGCAGATCTTCAGGGACTAGTGGAGGAGTGAGAATCATATCGTTGTCGCAATCAGAAGGAGAGAGTTGTACCACATAGTCTTTCGAGATCTTCATCTTAGGATCCACCTCCCCTTCCAGCTCCATGACCTGAGAGGAGTTCATTACTACCTCTGCATAAGATAAAATGGATTGCTTAACAGGAAATAGTCACCTGCACGTTTTGTCCTGGGGTGCCATGCTCAATAGGAGTATGTCCCATAGTAGTGTCCACAGGGACCAGTCAGCCTGATGTATCTTGTTGCTCTTTTTGCTCGAATTCTTCATGATCTCTGACCATGGATTCAATCAGCAGAGAGTTGTCGTCACTCTCTGATGATGACGAGTCTTCATTCTCCTATGAAAGCAAACGACAGGTTTTGCCACCACGGAATGAAGTACCAGGATTTTTAGACACAGAAGCATCTAGCTGTTCAGCAGCCAATTCATGATCAGCCTGTTTGCGTTTGGGTGTTTGATCAGGTTTGTTCACATTGTCATTTTGCATAGTAGTCCCTTTGCCTTCCTCCATAGGGTTTCTCACCAATACCTCTTCAACTTCATAAGTGAACTTGTAAAAACGTCCCCCCAACATACCCTCAGCCGTGGCAGGAAGTTGATCCACAAATCTATAGCCAATTTTAGCTCTAACAGAGGTGGGCCGGTTCAAAGTGGACATGTCAACTTCTAGAGTGACTGCAACCAGACCCCCAACGTAAGCCACAGTTTTATCATTACGCTTGTTAGGTGGGATTTTCCCAATCCTAAACCAGGCTACCTCAAGTAGCCCCTCAGCATCCACATCTTCAGACCAGGGAGAGAACTTAACACTCACCCCACATTTTTTGAGCTTAATAAATTCTACAAAGAAAGCACGATCCACCTCCCTGGGATTAGGCATCCTCATGACAATTTTTTGTGGAGCAAAAAATCTAGCAGAGCAGCGCCAGCCTTGCCCTACGTACACACTAAGCTCATGTTCAATATCTTTAGTGGGAGCAGAGCCCTCTATGATAGTAACGATAACATTGTAAATACGCTCTCTGGCCTGTCTTTCAATGTTCGTGTCAGGAATGAAATGGAACCCTTGCCCCTTAGATTGGAAAGCACACATAACAGGAAGACAGTCCCACGGGATGAACTCTTTGCAGATGATATACAGATGCCCATTTTTCTTGCATCACTCACAAATAGCTTGGGGGCAACTCACAGTAAAATGACCGGCCAGATGACAGATCTGGCAAGCATCAAGGCGAGGAGTGATGTTACCAGTAATAGCAGGAGGATCACCAGATCGAGGGGGGGCACTTTGTTGTGAGCGATCTGGTCCGTATTGTCGTCGTTGATGCGAGCAGGAGCAGCATGCGCTCCCCTGGGTGGAGGCTCTCCCCTGTGGTCAGCCACGCCATGCTCATCGTCCCCCCATCGATCTCGACGGAGGGGGTCGAGCCTGCCCTCCGCTGTCTCTTCCCACTTCTCGAAGCCCGAATCACCGGATCCAGACGCCTTCGTCGAGGACGACTCACCCACGCCCGTCCCCGTCTTGCGTCCACACATTGGAGTCGCGGCCCCGTCCGCGGCCGCTGCCGCGGTTGAAACGGCCAGCCCCCCGGCCATGGAGACCCGCACCGAAGCCTTCCCCTCTCATCTCGGGTCTATGGTTGGTGTGGATTTATACCAGCAACGCCCGTCGAAACCCTAGGCTCGCTCGATCCATGGCGGTCGGATCCCAACCCTACCACGTGACGAGCATCAACCGTGTGTTGAACCGGTCCACGCCCCAGCAGGCCTGCCCCATCGTCCAGGGGCGGCGGACATGGACGTGCAACGCGCAGCACCACCTCCACGCTACCGTGCGCCGCATCGACCGAGTCGTTCGCCCGAAACAAAGGAACGCGCCGGGGATCGACCGCCGCGGCGATCACCGGAGCCCTGTCGCGAACCCTAGCGAAGTGGCAAGGAAAGGAGACAAACCCGCCGATGTCGATCGAATCCCCGACACGAAGGTATCTCGCATCGATTGTGGCGCCGTACTCGTCGAGAAGCACGAGCCGGAGCGCGTCCTTCCTGAGCCAGATCACGCCATCGGATAGAGAAATCCGTCGCGTGGTCGCCAAGTCTGTCGCGTAGAGCACCGACCACCGCTCGTCAGTGTCGCCCCCCAGGGCGGCGTCGGCCCTCACGCTCGACTCGCCCGTCTCCATCATCATGCTCGTCGGCCCTCACGCTTGATTTGTTTATCCATGGCCTTGGTGGCTACTATTGTGGCGCCGAAGGCAGGTCTTCTTTAGATTTCTTAAAATTGGTTGAATGGTATTTGACATTCTTGATCAAAATGACGACTCCAAAGCAAATCTTTAGGTAGCATGCTCGATTGACAACATCTGACACATTATGTGCGTGGACAAGTTATGAGAACATCAGTGATCCTTAATAACATTTATAAGCTTGACTTGCTTGAGAACGGATGCACCTTATATTCTGAAAAATGGATTGAGTATTCCGTATGGGGCTCACAAGCCTGGTGACAACTAACCAACTGATTTCACGTCATTCTGTAATAACGAACCCGTCTCAAACGTCCGGACGGCGCGGTTAGTGACCAGTAAAAAAACCCGACCAAACACCTCAAACGTCCGGGCTGACCGACACCCCTCATATCCAACCCAAATATGGGGCGGATATGGGGAGGTCCGGGTGCGTCCGCCACATCGGACTGACGACCGTGTCCCACACAGAGTCGCCTGAAAAACCAAAAATCCGACGGACGTCTCCTCCAGTGGGGGTAAGAACGCCACGTGTCGCTGCTCCGGCTATTTAAGCCGGCCGGCGTCCCTAGCCCTAGCCACAACCTTTTCCTCCCTCTCAGTGCCGCCAGCCCAAGCACATTTATCTCCGTCTCTAGCTTCCTCTTTCCTCCCCGTCTGACATAGCCCGGTAGAAGAAGACCACCTATGATATGCAAATGCCAGAGCGCCGCTTTCAGATCGAGGAGAATATCCGGGTGAGGCGTGCCGCCTGGATCGCAACAAACCTGCCTCAGGACTTGCTGGAGCCGGAGGAGGAGGGGGAGCAGCAGCGGGAGCCTATAGAGGAAGCGGATCCGAGGAGGCGGACGCGGCAGAGTTAGAGGATGATTCGGCCCCAGTTGCGCGCTTCACCATGGACGAGGCCATGGTGGAGTTCGCGGTCGCCCAAGCGGCGGAGATGGCGGAGCAGATAGCCATCCTGGAGTGCATCCAGGATGAGGCATACGTGGAGTCCAACTGGCACTTCCTCCGGGAAGAACAGGCGGAGACCGACGCGCTATTCGATGAGGTGGGAGTGGAGATGGTGGCGGAGGCCCAGGAGGAGACAGAGAAGGAGCCGGAGTTGCGTTTGCCGCCTATGTACCCGAACACGGAACAGAGATAGTTGACATCGCCGACGACAATGAGTAGGGTGGTCAAGCATTAGTTGATGTATGTATTACGTAAATATTTTCTTTGCATGGTTTCTATGGTTTAAGATTTCATATATGAGGTGTTTGGATGCGGAGAGAGTTATTTGAGGAGTGTCCGGTTAGTGCCCGTGGACATACGGGCGCGCGTGTCTGCAGGCGTTTGTGGGCCCAAATTTGCAAGTTGCGGCTGTAGATACTCTAACAATGAAATTAAATCCATAGGTGTAGCATTACTGCAATATGTATCTACGTAGTACCATACGTAGACAGGGTCGACACACAGATCTTTGTCCCATCATCTTTGACGTTGACCGTGACCGTGACGTGGTGGTACTATAAGCAGTGCATGTAGGGTCGATCGACATACAGATCTTTGTTACTTCGTCTTTGACCGTGACACGTGCATTGTCGACCACATGCTCAACTTGCAGATATAGGAACAAAACGTATACGTCTGCGATATTTGTAGTATGATGAACTCATTTTTGTGCGTTACTCAGCCTTGCTTGTGGCACATTCCGCATCATACATAACTGTACTCCTAGCTTCGTGCTGAGACGTGAGTTAATTAAGCACGCGCGTACGATACATGCAGCAAGTGAATAATCAACCAGCCAACACACAATATACGTATAGCCTAGCGATCATGTCATTAAATAGCTGTTAGTGGCACGCACATATGAAGTTTAAACAAACTAGCAAGTGATCGATTGATTAATCAAGCAAGCAATATACGTACGACAAGCTATGCTCTACTACTACCTCCGTAAGCAAATATAAGATGGTTTAGATCACTACTTTAGTGATATAAAACATCTTATATTATTTTACAGAGGGTTAGTCAATGACATATATCCCGGAGGTGTTGCAGTGAGAAAAAAAGATGTTGCAGTGGATGGGTCTTCTAGGTGGGGCACTGGAAGCCGGAGGGGACGTTCTTGCCGCAGTAGTTGACGAGCAGGCTGAGGTCGACGGGGACGTTGAGGTGGATGCCCAGGATGTTGGCCTTGAGCGCCGTGCACAGGCACACGGCTGCATCCAGGTCCGCCAGCCCCTGGAGCAGCGAGCAGCACGTCTGCTTCGGCGTCGTCACCGGCCGCAGGTTGATCAGCCCGCCCAGCACGTTCGCGCACGCCCCAAGCTTCAGCGCGTCAATAGGGCAGCCACCGGTCCCTCCTCCTCCACCCTTGCCTCCACCGCCCCCGCCCCCTCCTCCTCCTCCCCCGCCCGGCGGCGGCGGGCTAGGCAGCTTGCAGCCGCAGTCGTCGGCCAAGGTGAAGAAGAGCAGGTTCAGGGCAAGCAGCGTGGCGATCACCGCCGCTTTCGTCGCCATAGCTTGCCTACCGAGCTGCTGTGCGTTTACTACAGGGTTTATTAGAGCTAGCTCACTCTTGGCTGTGTGTGTCCAGTGCAAGGGACCTCGGCGTGCTACTTATAGACCAAGAAGAATGGAAGGGGTTGAAATAGCTCCTACCTTAGTTAGCCCACTGAGGCCTCTTTTGGTTCATAGGGTAGAAAAATCATAGGAATAGGAAAGTTATAGAAAATGAGATGACATGTATCTTACATCCTATGAGTAGGAATAGGAAAGAAAATGCTCTTTGATTCACATGATAGCATTTTTTCCATTGAGTCTAGGCTAATGTTTATTTTCCTATGAAATGTGGAGGATAGGAAGAATTCTTTCACAGAAATAGGATTCCATTCCTACAAATCAAATGGCTCTAAAGGAATTTTTCATATAGAAATCCTATACTATGAAATTCCTACAAGATTCCTCTAAACCAAAGGAGGCCTGATATTTTACTCACTACACCTATGTAATGTAATCGATCAGTCTCTCCGTGTGAAGACGGCCAAGAGATAGCTGATCGCAACAGGTGCATGATGCATGTGAGCTGGCTTTGGCATTGGCCTTTGGGGATAGGTGGAAGGAGACAAGGAGATGTTTGGAAGGTTGCCGATACAAGATTTAAAGAAAATTTGTATATGTCAAATTATATAAATGAAACAATATCTAGACTGTTGATCCAAAATCCGACTGACTCGCGGAGCGCAAAGTCAACAATAACGTAGTTCGCTGACTTATGCATTCAAATTTGGCGAATCCCAAGCGACATGGACATACGTCTGCGGCTTTTGTCCATTTCTCGTTGAGATCACAATACTATTTCTTGGAGCATCCTGTTTTAAGGTTTTGTCGCACCAATGTACACAATTTATCATCCAAAAAGAATGTACTCCATCCATTCTAAAATACTTGTCGTGCTTTTAGTTCATATTTGAACTAAAAGTCAAAATATTTTTCGGAAATATTAATTTTCCTGAAGAGGCGGATAAGATATTAGGTGGCTGTTTGATACCGCCAGAAAGACAAAGAAAAAAAGGTTCTAAGGAATCAAAATAAAGGAAAAATTGGGTCTATGTTCAACGGAAAAAAAATCTTCAAGAACTCAAAACATGCCAATGTGATAAAAGAATGGAATCCTAGAATTCCTGTTCAATAACTTTTTTGGGCCCTTAGGCGCTATTGTAGCTAGTAGTATATCACATTTTCTTCATCGTACTATTTACTAACACATAATAAAATCCTGTTAAAATTTTAGTTTAAATTTAAACTAGAACCACGACAAGTATTTTGGAACGGAGGACATAGCTGTTTAAAGATGGAATTAACTCATTGTATTTTGCTCAATTATTTCCTCCCAAACTAATTGACCAGGACCGGCCTGCCAGAATCATGTGGTGCCAGTGACTAAAATGACACATAGGCCATCTATTGAATTTTTATGTTACCATGATGTCGTAAATCATTTTTACCTGTGCATTTTCTATCTAATAGAGAACTAGGAAAATAATCCCATTAGTCTGTCTGAGGCGAGGTGCAACTCCGAATTAGACATGACGCGGCTGGCTATGGCGTCACTGACAGAGCCTACGCAAATGGTTGATAGGCACGGGTGCAGGCGGAAGATGCTCAACTATCATTGAGAAAGGCAAGGCGTAGAGGGATGGCTGAGGTGGCAAGGAACAATAGTTGGGGTAAAGCTCCGACGGGTAGCGAGGTTCGGGTCAACGGGACGGGGCGATGGTCAGACGAAGAAGAAGGTTACTCGGGCGGGATTCACTGAAACTAAAAAGAATGGGTTTGTCTAGGGCACATCTAGATGTGCTTTAGTTATTGCACATCTAAATGACTCAATCAAACTAGAAAGAAAAAGAAAAAGGACTAATAAAAATGCTTGCACGAATCTTTATGTGGACTCAATGGCATAGGACTTAGATGTGCAATACTTACGGCACATCTAGATGTGCTTTAGCAAAACTGAAAAAGAATCTCATGTGACCAGAAATGCCTTTTGGTTCTCTGGCTACAAGGAGCTTTTTTTTAAAATAAAAGAAGTATCAATGTTTCAAAACTTCTAAAAAAAAAGAACACCACAATATCATATGGATGTATACTCCATGTGTGCAAGTTTTCATAAACATGCGAGCTACACAAAAAAAGTGGAAATTGTTGGTTTTATAGTGATATTTTCCCTACTTTTTTGTGTAGCTCTCAAATCAGTGTATTGTCTCATGAAATTTTACACACATGTACTCCTAGTATACATCCATATGTCAATGTTTGAATTTTTCCAGGATTTTTTGAACCTTTGAAACGTGATTTTTTGAATCTTTCAAAAAAAGGCTCCATGTAGCCCAGCATCAGAACGCTGGACTCCTCAGTTGACTGATGCATAGGTGCTTCCTTTTAACCGTGGCGGATTGTGTACTATTATGTCTGTTTCTAAATACAAAACTTTTGCGTCTTATATTTAAGGATCGGAGGGTGTACTACTTGGTACTGTAAACTCTTAATTTATACGTTGCCGTAGAAAAACATCTTAATTTATACTTGTCATCATGGTTCCTTACATTCTTGACTCGATTGAAAGAAATTGACAGCATTTACCAAAAGGACTATTCCATTCACGCGCCAAATGTACATGTCCTAGCATTAGCATATTTAGCATGGTCGATTGACAACATCATCAAGACACGATGCGTGCGTAGACAATGTCTAGCAAAGAGACACATTGCTGTTTGCCGTAGGTACGTACGTGGTGAAGATGGAGGCAGGGTCGACACGCAGATCTTTTCCCCGTCATCTTTGACCGTGACACGTGCATGCCTTGTAGAGCGCGGTCCACACATGCTTGCAGGCATATGAACAAAGTGCTTGTTACCTAGCTCCTCTCTTTGGCTTGGCACTTGCATCTGCTGGCCAATCACCCTCAGCCAGGTGCTTATGTTTAGCTAGCTAGCATTTCTTTTTTGAAATGGAGAGATCTGAAAGATGGTTAGGCTCTGGCTAGGAGCCTATACGTTACGTGTCCTTTTTTTGTGCATCACGCCGACCGGAAGATTGATATGTGTAGCTAGCCTGCTTCTGCTTGTAGCACATTTCAGATCACAGTACAGTGTACATAATTGAAGCACTAAACATATATACATATATGTGCATGCAAGTGGGTGATTGATACGTGTCGATCCACGCACCTCGGTCCTAATGAGACGCGACACAGATCTCATCGTGCGCATGGAGTATGCACGGAGAGAATAATTAACCAGATGCTAACACGATAGCTGAGGCAAAATCTAGAGTGACAAAAATAAAATTTTCCCAAAGAATTAACCAGTGCACAGAATGAATGAATTCACAGACGCTAACAAACTGCATGTACCACCCTAAGAAATCAAAGGCGCACAGAATTTTAATCGAATCAATTAGCAAATGCTAAAGATCACACAGAGACAGTTGACATATGATATTAATTACTTTACTACAATTGTGGAGGAGCAACCTCTTTTTGAAGGAAATATAATAGCAGCCAGCGGTACACGCATGAGATCATATGTGGCTGAGAACTGGATCCATGGTCCATACAGTACCGTAACCAGTTCGATGACAAGCAGTACGTGGTACAAACGGTACTACCACACACACAGAGAGAAATATGCAAGTTTAGCAACTAGCAAGAGCGATGATAAATTATGAAGCAAATAACGTATACGACTAGCTATAGAGCACTAGTCAATGGATGGATTGTAGATCATGCGTGCGTGCATGCACGTACGTACGTATAGTGGATGCCTGCATGCAGTGGACGATGGATCTCTCGGGTCTTCTCTTCTAGCGGGGGCACTGGAAGCCGGAGGGGACGTTCTTGCCGCAGTAGTTGACGAGGAGGCTGAGGTCGATGGGCACGTTGAGGTTGATGCCCAGGATGTTGGCCTTGAGCGCCGTGCAGAGGCACACCGCCGCCTCCAGGTCGGCGAGCCCCTGGATTAGCGAGCAGCACGGCTGCTTCGGCGGCGTCCCCAGCTGCAGGTTGATCAGCCCGTTGAGCACGTTGGCGCACACCCCCAGCTTCAGCGTGTCGATGGGGCACCGCGCGCGCCCGCCTGATCCGCCTCCTCCCGATCCGCCACCGCCGGACCCGCCGCCGCCGCTGCCACCTCCTCCTGACCCACCTCCGCCGCTGCCGCCTCCTCCAGATCCGCCTCCATCGCTTCCTCCACCACCCCCGCCACCGCTCCCACCTCCACCGCCACCCCCACCGCCGCCGCCGCCGCCCGGACTAGGGCAGGATCCGCAGTGGCAGCCGCAGGCGTCGGCGAAGGTGAAGAAGAGCAGGTTCAGGGCCAGCAGCGTGGCGATCACCGCCGCCTTCTTCGCCATGGTTACCAAGCTACCAAGCTAGCTAGCTACCTGGCCTCTCTTGCTGCTGTGCGTGTACAGGGTTTAGACTGCCTCTGCCGTGTGTGTGTGTGTGCAGTGCAAGGGAGCTCGGGGCGCTATTTATAGCTCAAGAAGGACGGAGGGGGTTCAACTAGGTCCTAGCTCAGCCCACAGATATTATTTTACTCACACTATGTGAAGATGAGATGAGCAAGAGCTAGCTGCCCACCACGGGTGCAAGCAAGCTAGAAGACGATGCACGCATGTGATCGAGCTGGCTCTGGGAATGGGGACGGAAGCACAAGGAGATGGTAACAGACAAGGGAGCTGTTTGGGTTTGGAGGGTTGCCGGTTCGAGGGCCATCACGGCCTAGTGCTGCAGGAAAGATGGCGTACGACTCTATGATTCTGGCTAGCTAGCATCCTTTACCACTGCAGCTTAAGCTTTCCGGTGAATAATTTCTTGCTGCTGATTGTGCCTGCGCGTGGAGGGTGTCGTGTCGTGTCGTTCCGATCGGGTGCATGGTCGATATCGATTCACTCACTCAGGCAGCTGGCCACAGTGCGTCCCGTGATCTTTCATGGTCTTGCACTACGCGGCACGTACGTACGTTGGTCATAGGTACACCCATGAACTCATGTGCCGACGAGCAGGAGTGGCCGGCCGGCCGGTATGGGGGAGCGCGCGCAGAACTAGGTAACACATTACTCCTACATGATAATCGGAACCATCGCATTATTTGCGTATGCATGCATGTTCATGTTCATGTTCATGTTCATGGGGAAGACGCGCGCACGCATTTGGTAGTCACCGATCAGCCCAACACTCACATGGTTGGCTGGTTGGTTTATTAGGACACTATTTTTTCTTAGCAAATGTTACTCACATAACCATAGTAGCTTAGAAAGATTCATGTGTAAAGTTACCACATTTTCTATGAAGGAAAAATTCACGGAACGAGTATGATTTTTGGGACAAGTTAGGGCAGCTCTAGCTGACCCCTTTAAATAATAGAGGAGTAAATTACCGAGTAAAGCTTAGTGAAGTATATTTACTTCACTAAATATTGGTCGTTTCTAGCCAATCCCTTAAATTCAGTTCAGTAAATAATGAAGTCGGTGCAAACAAACACAAATTTGATTTAAACAAGTACTCCCTCTGTCCTAGAATATGAGAACGTTTTTGATACTATGCTATTGTTAAAAACGTTCTTATATTTTAAGACGGAGGGAGTACTTATTAAACATATTAACGGAAATTTCGGTGCCGATTCATAATATTTTACAATGTCATCGACCGAAACTTACTTTAAAATTATTACTAATTTAACCAAAACTAAGACTAGAACTTACTAATTTTATTCGCTATCCGTATCTTCAATGATCTCTTTCCACTCGGCTCTGGATAGCCCACCGATCATAGTGTTGGCGCTTGTGCCGTATGTGGACTCGAAGATGCCACCGTGGCCGTAGATGCTGGTGACTCCTTCCCGCGGCTGTCATTAGCGCCTCCTTTGCTACAATTGTCGTCGTCGTTGCCACTGTCACCTCTGTTGCTGCCGCTGTCTTCATCGTTGCTGGACAGGACAATGACCTCTACCCCCTGCCGCTAGCTGCTCGTACAGGCGGCGCTCCCCCTCTACTTGATTCGGGTAGAGGCGGCGGAGCTCCGCCATGTACACCTCGTCGAAGTCTCTGCCGCCAAGCGCTCCCTCGCCTCCTGGCCCCCCTTCCTCTCGCACGCGGAGATCACCGGCAGGTCGATGGCATCCAACCGCGGCATCTCACCGAACTCAAAGTTTCGGTGTCCGTTGGTGTCGTGCAATGTCATTTTCGTGGGTGGCTTGCTCGGCGTAGTGTAAGCTCCCGAGCCATCGCTTTCTGGTGGGTGCGCTGGTCCGTAATTGCGGCCACCCACGTCCTCTATGCCCCTTGCTGCACACCGATGTATTGTCTCTATGGGCTGTGGCAGCGGCGGAGGGAGCTCAAGGAAGCTAGGCAGGCGGCCGCGGGAGGCAGATGGGGCGGCACGACGCTTGTGGCGGTGCGGATCCGCACTGCAGATGGGTGGTGGGGAGTAGCGGTTGCGGTATCCGGCCATGGCTGCGCGGGTGGGAGTGCTGGTGCAGTTTGGGGCTCGTAGGTGAGGTGTGGACGGCGGAGGATTGGATAGGGAAGAGGCGGAGAGGCGTAATTGTGTTTTACTCCGCGGCCGAGCAGATGAGTAATTTTAGGTTCTTGGGAGGCGTGGTGTAATTTTTTTACTCCACTAACCGATTTAGTCAATCGGCTAGGTCCCGGTTATAGGAGAAAAACTAAATTTTTAACACTTCTTCTTCGGTACAACCCTCCCCCCTCCTAAACACATCAACGGTGGAGATCTGTTTATACCTCTTCATAATAAAGGGTAGGATGGTATTTTTGTTGGAAATATGCCCTAGAGGCAATAATAAAATGGTTATTATTATATTTCCTACTTCATGATAATTGTCTATTGTTCATGCTATAATTGTGTTATCCGGAAATTGTAATACATGTGTGAATATATAGACCACAACATGTTCCTAGTAAGCCTCTAGTTGACTAGCTCGTTGATCAACAGATAGTCATGGTTTCCTGACTATGGACATTAGATGTCATTGATAACGGGATCACATCATTAGAAGAATGATGTGATGGACAAGACCCAATCTTAGGCATAGCACAAGATCATGTAGTTCGTCTGCTAGAGCTTTTCGAATGTCAAGTATCTTTTCCTTAGACCATGAGATTGTGCAACTCCCGGATACTGTAGGAATACTTTGGGTGTGCCAAACGTCACAACGTAACTAGGTGACTATAAATGTGCACTACGGGTATCTCTGAAAGTGTCTGTTGGGTTGGCACGAATCGAGACTGGGATTTGTTACTCCGCATGATGGAGAGGTATCTCTGGGCCCACTCGGTAAAACATCATCGTAATGGCCTCAATGTGACTAAGGGTTGGTCACGGGATGATGTGTTACGGAACGAGTAAAGTGACTTGCCGGTAACGAGATTGAACGAGGTATTGGAATACCGACGATCGAATCTCGGGCAAGTAACGTACCGATTGACAAAGGGAATTGAATATGGGATTGATTGAATCCTCGACATCGTGGTTCATCCGATGAGATCATCATGGAATATGTGGGAGCCAACATGGGTATCCAGATCCCGCTGTTGGCTATTGGCCGAAGAGTTGTCTCGGTCATGTCTGCATGGTTCCCGAACCCGTAGGGTCTACACACTTAAGGTTCGGTGACGCTAGGGTTGTAGAGATGTTAGTATGCGGTAACCCGAAAGTTGTTCGGAGTCCCGATGATATTCTGGACGTCACGAGGAGTTCCGAAATGGTCCGGGGGTAAAGATTTGTATATAGGAAGTCCAGTTTCGGCCACCGGGAAAGTTTCGAGGTCATCGGTATTGTACCGGGACCATCGGAAGGATCCCGGGGGTCCACCGGGTGGGGCCACCTATCCCGGAGGGCCCCATGGGCTGAAGTGGGAAGGGAACCAGCCCCTGGTGGGCTGGTGGGCCCCCCATGGGCCTTCCCCTGCGCCTAGGGTTAGAAACCCTAGGGGTGGGGGGCGCCTCCACTGGCTTGGGGGCCAAGCCACCCCCTTGGCCGCCGCCCCCCCATCTAGATGGGAACTAGAGGGGTTGGCGCCCCCCTGCCCCTATATATAGTGGAGGGGAGGGAGGGCAGCCGCACCCATGTCCCTGGCGCCTCCCTCTCCCCCCGTGACACCTCTCCCTCTCGTTGGTGCTTGGCGAAGCCTTGCCGAGATCCCGCTGCTTCCACCACCACGCCGTCGTGCTGCTGGATCTCCATCAACCTCTCCTCTCCCCTTGCTGGATCAAGGAGGAGACATCTCTCCCAATCGTACGTGTGTTGAACGCAGAGGTGCCGTCCGTTCGGCGCTCGGTCATCGGTGATTTGGATCACGATGAGTACGACTCCATCAACCCCGTTCTCTTGAACGCTTCCGCTCGCGATCTACAAGGGTATGTAGATGCACTCCCCTCTCCCTCGTTGCTAGATGACTCCATAGATTGATCTTGGTGATGCGTAGAAAATTTTAAAATTCTGCTACATTCCCCAATAGTGGCATCATGAGCTAGGTCTATGCATAGTTTCTATGCACGAGTAGAACACAAGTTGTTGTGGGCGTTGATTTTGTCAATTTACTTGCCGTTACTAGTCTTATCTTGATTCGGCCGCATCGTGGGATGAAGCGGCCCGGACCGACCTTACACGTATGCTTACGTGAGACTGGTTCCACCGACTGACATGCACTAGTTGCATAAGGTGGCTAGCGGGTGTCTGTCTCTCCCACTTTAGTCGGATCGGATTCGATGAAAATGGTCCTTATGAAGGGTAAATAGAAATTGGCATATCACGTTGTGGTTTTGGCGTAGGTAAGAAACGTTCTTGCTAGAAACCTATAGCAGCCACGTAAAAACTTGCAACAACAATTAGAGGACATCTAACTTGTTTTTGCAGCATGTGCCATGTGATGTGATATGCCCAAAAGGATGTGATGAATGATATATGTGATGTATGAGATTGATCATGTTCTTGTAATAGGAATCACGACTTGCATGTCGATGAGTATGACAACCGCCAGAAGCCATAGGAGTTGTCTTAATTTATTTATGACCTGCGTGTCAACATAAATGTCATGTAATTACTTTACTTTATCGCTAACCGTTAGCCATAGTAGTAGAAGTAATAGTTGACGAGACAACTTCATGAAGACACGATGATGGAGATCATGATGATGGAGATCATGGTGTCATGCCGGTGACGACGATGATCATGGCGCCCCGAAGATGGAGATCAAAAGGAGCAAAATAATATTGGCCATATCATGTCACTATTTGATTGCATGTGATGTTTATGATGTTTTACATCTTATTTGCTTAGAACAACGGTAGCATAAATAAGATGATCCCTCGCAATAATTTCAAGAAAGTGT